GGGTCTTACACCAGGGGGTCTTACACCAGGGGGGCCTCACACCAGGGGGTCTTACACCAGGGGGGCCTCACACCAGGGGGTCTTACACCAGGGGGGCCTCACACCAGGGAAACCAGGCCTGTGCCTCCACCTGTGCCCACACACGCACGTTTGGACACACACACAACCTCTCAGGCGCACGCACACACACACACACACATACACGCACAGTGCTCAGATTGCTACACCCTCACCTGCCTTTCCAGCCTCATGCACAAACCAGTTGGGTATATCCCAGGCAATCTGGGTCAAGAATAAGCCCCTTCCCTTTAAAAATAACAGCAGCTGCCATTAACTGAGCCCTCGCTGCACCCTCACTGCATGCCAGGCAGTGCGAACCCCTGGCCATGGATCACCTTATGTGACTCTCAGTGTCAGTCACCTGACAGATGAAGAAACTGGGTCAGAGAGCACAAGGCCGTGGGAAAGTCCTGCAGTGGACATTGATGAAGCAGGTGTGAAATCAGACAGTGACTCCCCGGCCCACATTTGGAACCACTGTGCTAAGTGGCGTTTTTTTCAGACCCCCTTTATCCATTCCGACAAGAGTATCTCTGGCTCCACTGAACCCCCCCCCAGTCAGATGTGTATGGGCTCCTTGGACACCCCTGAGCCCTGAACACTCACCCTGCAGGGCAGAAGGAACCCTCCTGGCAAGCCAGGAGGGGAAATTGAACTCGAAGCAGAAACCTGTCAGGTGCATGTTCTTGCTGCATGCATGCTGCACGGTGGGGCCGCAGGCCTGAGGCAGAAAGGGTGGTGGGAAGGGCTATCCTGGCTCCCCGACCTGCAGGTCCCTGCTCCCCCCCCAACACTCCTGCCACTCCAGGCAACTCACCAGCAGCCGAGGGAACTTGGTGGCAGCCGCCAGGGACAGGCCCAGGGACATGTTCACGGCCTCCGGGGGGACTGAGGGGACAGATATGTGCACGGTCACCCTCAGGACAGAGGTTGTGTAAGACCTGAGTGAGGGTTACCGCAGCTCTGGTTGACAAGGAGCTCTGAAGTGAAGGGGGCTTCCAGGTCTTGATGGAGCTGGAGGGACGGATACAGAGCTGTGATGGGCAAGGAGGCCTAGAAGGGATCAGGAAGCCCACCTGCAGGCAGAGCCGAAGGTGGGAAGTGGGTGTCCCAGAGTGGGGGGCCTCCCTGGGGCCCCGGGAGGGCGGCCACTCACCCTGCAGGGGGATGGGCCTGCAGCGGCCGGTGCTGTAGTCACACTCGTACAGGCCGCCTGTTTGGTTGGCAGCCGTTGTCTCCAGGGGGGCTCCGACCACCACCCTGGGGGAGACAAAGTTTCCGGCAGTTAACAGCGTGGCCCCTGGAGCCACATTTGCCCGAGCAAGTCTGTGCCTCCTCTCGGAAGAAAGCTAAACCAAGATTTCTTCATCTGCAAAGTGGAGGTTTGTGATTATTTCGGTTCCACGTGGGAGGGCTTTTGCCTGTTACTTTCGTGGACACCTGGCTCCCAGGCCGGCAGGAGGTGCTCATTCAGTGTTTAACAGGTGATTGCTTGCTAGCTCACAAGGCTGGTAAAGGCCTGGGCGCAGGTTCAGGCCCTGAGCGGGGCAGGCACCGGCGTGCAGTCCAGCTAGTCTGGCCCTGGGAGTTGCCACACCACACAGGGAGGAAGTGAGTGAGAGAGAGGCAGCACCCCATGCAGGGAGGGGAGCCGCTCCCAGCACCCGGGCTCACCAGGAGCTGGCATACTGGACCACGCTGTGTCCAAACCCAGCGCTGTTCACGGAGAAGATGGTTGGCTGCTCCGTGTCCAAGTTGAAGCAGAGAGTAGAAGCCAGGGCTGGAGAGGGGTGAGAGAGCCTTGGAGAAGGGCCTTCCTTCTGCTTTGGCTCCCCGGGTTGGGGGCCACCCTCCCAACCCCCAACACTCTCCCTCCCTCTGTTCAGAGACAGCTCTTCACTCCCTGGCCTATGGACGAGGTCCAGTTCTCCATGTCCACAGACTCACACCCAAGCTCAAAAGATGGTCCTTTCCCCTCCTCCCCTGGGGCTCCCAAGCAGAGCCGCCAGGGGGAACTGAGGTCAAAGAGATGCTATGAGCTGAGCACTAGGATACCTTGTTCTGCCTACTTCAGAAGTCTCTGGATTGTCCAGGCAACTGCTCTCCCTTCTAGTACCTCTCAATCTCCTTCCAGATCGGTTCCTCAAACCCCTCTCCCCTGGCAAAGTCCAGATCCCAAACCTCTGTAATTCCAAATCCTTCTGGTCTAAGTCCAAATCGTTCATCATTAGCTCTGTGCTGCTGGGCCCCGACGCCCTCGGCTGCGCTTACCCATCAACAGGAGGAGGGATGTCCTGGTGCTGGCCATGACTGGAAGGCCAAGCAAGGGTCTCTGAGCTCCTGAGCCACCAGGGGGACGAACGGCTGGACCGAGCCAGAGAAGGAGCAAAAGAGCAGAGATGTCAGAGAGCAAGCAGCCAGAGGGGAGAAAAGAAGTTGTCATGTGACTCAGAGGTGGAGGGCGGAGAATGCAAATAAAATAAGCAGAAAAAGGGCTTCTCAGCCCACACATGCAGCTGCAGGCGGTCTTTCTAACCCTAGCAGGCTTACTGGCTTCTCTTGCTTCACCAATTAAGGCTTGAGTAGATGCAAATCTTTAGCCCTACCTACCCCACCTTTCCGAGGACACTCGGATTAGCGGAAGGTTCCTTCTGATCTTGAAACATCAATTAGCCTGGGGAGTAGGGAGCAGTTATCAGCATGGGGTCAGGGCCCTGATGGAGACCCTGGTGGGATACCCCTACTGTAGACCTGAAAACTAGTTTCCGAGGAATCAAGCGTCTGTCCATCCAGAAGATGTACAGAGTGGGTTGTCATCATTTATACAACAGACTTAGTTTGTCACATAAACTTGGGGCTGATTATGGATGCCCCGTTAGCAGAGGGAGCTAAAACAAACCATAGGTCTCAGCCTGGGGACAAAGGGGTAGCAGTATGCTGTAAGGGAAACATACTGACCTCATGGTAACTTGCTCAGGCTGGCAGGGAGTGGATTTCCAGGAAGGCTTCCAGGAGGCAGCGCTTGAGCTAAGTTGTGAGCTAACTGACTGTAAGAGAGTATTTCGGCAGGGGCAGCCAGATGTGGAAGAGGCCTGAGACAGGAGACTCTCTGGGGAAATGTGCCAGGAGGTGGCATTTGAGCTGAGTCGTGAGCTAACTGACTGTAAGAGAGTACTTCGGCAGGGACAGCCAGATGAGAAGTGGCAAGAGATGAGGTCAGTGTTGTGGAAGAAGAGAGGAAGAGGAAGTATACCCCAGATTCAGGAAACCCCCAAAAAACCTCACTTTTATCCTGAGGGCAGAAGAAAGCACTAGAGGAAACTGTCAAGGCTGGTCTTCAAATGTAAGTGCTAGAAAAGGCAGACATGCCCGGTGGGGGATGGTCTCTATGGAAAGTAGCTGCAGACAGATCAGTCAGGAGAGACATGATGGGGCACGGTGGGGTGAGCTAATGGCCATGGAGGCGAACTGGAGGCTGTGGTTGCAGGTGGACATGGTGGTGATGGTCCTTGAATTAGAGAATAATGAGGAGGAAGGAGGGTGGGCGAATCCAATTTGTTTCTGAGAAAAATCCAAATGAGGCATTTAAGAGGTTGGATTCTTTCACCTTCTCTATACCTCAGTTCCCTCATCCGCAAAATGGTGATAATAAAAGCACGCACCACTTTTGTTACTGGGAAGGTTGAGTTAGGAAGAGAATGCTTAGAAGCGTGTGTAAGAGTTTTATCTTTGGCTGTTACCACCGAGTATCATGGAATAAGTAAGAGGTGTGTAGCGGCTTCTAGGAGAGGTGTCCTAGGCACTTGGGCATGTGGAGAAAATTACAGATTGGAGATGAGTCTGGAAACATCAGCAAAGATACTGGATGAGAATCTGGGGATGGGGATGTGAAAGGAGAGGAGAAAAGCTGGGCCTGGAGGGTGGGCCCCAGAGAAATGTCAAAGAGTAGGAACCCATGGAGATTGAGAAAGAGGCCTTGAGGAGAGAGAAGGAAGCCCAAGGGAGAGGAGGTCCCGCAAGGCCCTCCTGGAGAAAAGGATCACGGGCACTTGCACATACTGCCAGATGCCAGAGGTGAAGTGAGGCAGGAACTGAAGACACCCTGGATCTGGCCACGGAGGCTGTGGGGACCCTCGAGGGGGCCACATTTCGCTTTGAAGGAGGCCAGGCCCTGTGGATGGGAGAGACTAGACAGGAAGAACTGGGCAAAGGAGGAACCTACCAGGAGGTAAACAGCCATGAAGAGACCACAGAAACAGTGTGTCTGGGGAAAGGCCTTAGTGTTCTTGGAAATGAAGAGCAGTCTGGTGGAGGATTAAAATCTGAAAAGGATATGGTGACAGAAAATACCAGTAAGGAGAAAGCAGAAGTGACCCAAATCCCGGAGAGGAGACTCAAGTCAAAAGGCTGGGAAATTGACAGCTGGTCATGGGGACAGGGAGAGGCCAGAGGGCCAGAGGGCCAGACCTTGGCATCCTGGCCTTCACGTTCCAGACTTGGTAGGGCAAGGGAGGAGACAAGAATACTGGACACACATGGTAAAGCGCCATCTTTATCTCAAGCTGCCCAGCTTTGGTCCACCACACGTCAGACCTAGGCGGTAAATTCAAGGTGGAGAAAAGTCAGGGTGAGAAGACCTCTCCCTTTGGCAAAGACAACATGGTTATAAAAATGTAGAACAGGATGTGTCCTTCATCCCATGACCATTTCCATTCTACAGATGAGCGTGTGAGGCTCCAGCCAGGATCTTAGGGTATCCAAAGTTCACCCCATTTCAGTGAATCGTGACTGACCTTTTCTAAAAATGATGGCAGCTGAGGGGGATGATATAAGCAAGGACGAGTGGACACCCACATCACACAGGTCCTTAGCCCTTGGGGCCATGAATCAGCCACATCTTCCCTGTCCATCGAGCACCCCAGGGTGTGCAGAGCCTGTGGCGAGCCCAGGCAGAGGAATCGCCTGAGGAAGCCTCTCCCTCTGCCATCCCTGACTCAATTCTGTCCCTCGGCTCTGTCCAGGCACCCAGTGGTGCTGGACATTCCTTGGTTGGAAGAAGTTTCCAGCAGGATTGTGGACAGTAGGGGCTGCATTGATGGGGGAATGGAGAACCCATGGCAGAAGTTACTTTGATACAGGAACTGAGCACTTTGGGTCTATTCTGGGCTGCTTCTTTATGGGAAGAAAATAGAGATCTGGTGGGCAGAAACCCTCGATTTCTCCGATCATTTCCACCTCACAGGCCCCCACAGGACCTTAGGTTCCTTAATGTTTTTGTCCTTTGTCTTCTACGTGTGATCTGCTCATTTCTGTCTTTGAAAGACAAACCATCGCCTCACCCTTAATTTTCTCAAAACAGAATTCATAAGTCTATAGTGTAGAAACACACAGCAGAGGCAAGATTCTCCCCTCCAAAGCACCTGGTTCTCCCTGAACCCCTGGGTCCCTGGACGTGCGGTTCTTGGTATGGTGGAGGATATGGGGACGCTGGAGGATGTTGGCCAGTGTTTGGGAACTTGGGGCCTGGAGGGTGAAGCTGGCTTTAGGCTGTAACGTCGTCAGGCCAGAACCAAGGGTCTGGGGTTACCCTCAGGGCCCGTCACTGTGCTCTGGGCCTGTTAGCTCCTGAGTCCTCACAGCAGTCGTGTGGGGCTGGCGGGGCGGGACTGCTGGGGTCCCTGTTGTAGATGCAGAATTCAGGCACAGAGATGTTGAGCCACTCACCTCAGGTATGTGTGTGTGTGCGTGCGTGTGTGTTTGCATATGTGTGTGTGTGTGCACAGGTGTGTATTTGTGCTTCTCCACACACATGTGGGAATTACAGATGTTCACTCTGACGGGAGATGTGGAATTTTACAGATTGCCCAGTTAGTACAAAGGTTGAAGACACTGGCGTCTTAGCTGCACTGCTGAAACCGCTTCCTCTTCTCTCCATGGCGGCCTTTGTTCCTCCCCGCCGGTTAGAGTTGCCCACATGCCCCAGACGAAGAGCTGGTTTCTGAGAACCAAGAAAATATGGGTAAGATGCCAGGAGTCTCACCTGACAGGGGGACACTATTCTGATGCATTCAACTCAGAAGTTCAACAGGAGATCAGTGACCCATAAGACCCCAGGAAGTGACCAACCCTGCTTGGGTCAGTCTTAACAGGAGATGCTTGGAAAAAAACAACTAAATGGAATGCCGTGACATCCTGGGATTGGAGTAGGAATTGTGTACTGGGCCCGTATCCTTCTGACCAAACTGCCCCCAGCACCCCCGACTCACAGGAAGCCCCCCATCTCTACTCGGGTGTGAGTGAAGTTAAAGAGCAGTAGCTTGCTTCCCAGCCAGGGTAACTTTTTGTACAAAAGACCCCATAGTTCTGGGCTTGGTCCCAGTGGAGCTGAGTTAAGGGCTGGGGAACAGCCCTTGCTGCTGCTCATCACTGCAGGAGGCTCCAGAGAGAAGCCCCGGCGGCCCCTCTCAAAGAGTTTGTTGAGAGCAGATGCTCATTCTGCTTGTGTCCCCGAGGATGGCCACCAGGTCTGGAGTGGACCCTGGGGTCAGCACCTGTCTGCTGGGTGTAGGGAGGGAGGAGGGAGGGGCAGGAGGAGAGAGGTGGGTTGTGCATGAACAGGTGGGTGAGTGTGGGTGGGTAGACGGGCCAGAAGTTGGGTGGCAGGTGCTGAGCAGGTAGGCGTTGGCGGCTGTGGGTGGCAGGAGTCCTGCACAGACTTGAGGCTGACGGGCCAAGTGCTCAGCCCAGGCAGCCCTGAGCCAGCTCTCCATTTGCATGACTGGAAGTTTGCCTTGGGACAAACAGTAGCAGGCTTCCTGGGAAGCAAACGAATTTTAACTGGACAAATCTAGGGTAGGACAGGGGTTCGCTTACTTTGAGCACAAGGCTGAGGAAAGAAGCCGTGGGGAGGGCGGCGACCTTCACGGTTGGGGACCTGGGCGCGGAGAGAACTGAGACAGGAATCTTGGGACACAGGGGACTGAGGAATCAGTCCATCATTTCTATATTTTCCTCATATTTTTATACAGTTTTTGAAGACTGTTACATGCAGAAGATTAATTACTAGGAGTAATTAGTACTGGACATGTCTACTGAATACAGATGGTCTGATTTATAGTGCACAACACTTGCTAAGGGTCTACTTTTAGCGAGCATATCTCATCTTATTTCCCTGCGTGCCTGGCTGGGTTTCAATGCCGAGTCTTCTCAAGGGCCAGCACATCCTCCTGGTCTCCGCTGCTCAGCCTGGGAGGCTATTTGTAGCCTCCTTATCACACACTTTCTCAACTTCAGGTCATGCAGACCTTCTCGCTGGAGTTGAGCTGCCTG